AACATTACAAAGCCTACTTTCCAACCTACCACCAAATTCCAGTAAAAATGAAAATGTGCATAGCATATGGCTCAGCAATTCCAGACTTTTTATCCAAAATGTTTTCTAGGAGACATGTTTACATATGAATATCCACAGTAGCACTGCTAATAACGATAAAAAAAAAAAAAACAGAAAACAAGAAACCTAAAACTTACAATAACCCATATGTCTATTACAACAGAATCGTTAAAAAAATAGGTATAATCACAAAGGAGAAGAATTAATTGTTTTGGGTAATAATGTGTATGCCTACAATCCTAGCAATATAGGAGGCTGAGGCAGAAGGATCACCAAATTCAAGGCCAGCCTTAGCAACTTAAAGAGACTCTAAAATACTTAGAGAGACTCTATCTCAAAATGAAAAATATAAAATAAAAAAGGACTAGAGATGGAGTTCAGTGGTAAAGAACCCCTGAATTCAATCCCCAGTACTGAAAAATAAAAAGAATTACAGCTACATGCATTGACAAAGATAGATTTCAAGAATACTTCTATTTGTAAAAAAAAAAAAAAGTAATTTGCTTTAAAGGTATAAAAATGATTATAAAACTTGTATTCTTACACATATGTGATATGTGTACCAGGGATCTATAAGTACAAAATTTCAGATAATGATTATTTCTGATCAGAGGGAAAGGAATGGGAAAAAAACACAATAAAGGTCTCAAAAATACCTGTAATCAATTTTTAAGTATTACTCTTTCTAGTCATCAGTTCATTCAAAGTCCTAACCAAAATACATCACTTTTCATTAAAAATCTCCCGGTAGTCTTAAGATATAAACTATCCTAAAATAGCTCTACTATATTTGCTTTAATCCCCCATATGAAATTAGGTAGACAGTCAGGTATAGTGGTACATATCTATAATCCTAGTGACTTGCATGGCTGAGACAGGAGGATCAAAATTTTGAGGCCAGCCTCAGCAACTTAGTGAGACCCTGTCTCAAAATAAAAAATAAAAAGGATTTGGGAATGTAGTTTTGTGTTTTGAGTACCCCTGGGTTCAACAGCCAGTATCAAAAAATTAAAATAAAGAAGCTAAAAACTATTGATTCTACCTTTCTAATATTTCTGAAATATATCCTCTTCATTTTTACTGATTCAACCCTAAGAAGTTCAGCACCTCAAAATCTCTGATGAAATAGTAAGATAATCTCCAAACTTGTCTCTATCTCTACAATCTACCCTCTTCAACATCTCCAAAGTCAACATCTTCAAAGTAAACCAAGTTATCTTTCTGAAATGTATAAGTCAGATGTAATTATTATTCCCCCTTCACATTATAAATTTTCCTACAGCTTGTGGATAAATACACTGTTCAAAGGTCTTCGAGTCTGACACAGACCATCTTATCTCAACTTTCTCTATATCCACGCGCTACTCTACCTTGAATGATATACTTCTTCCATCACTTGGACTGTTTGCCCAATCTCAAACAGACTTCCCACCCATATTGTTTGCATGTACCAATCATAACTATACTTTAAAATTTTACTTCAATCGTTACTTTCTTTATGTTGCTTTTCTGATGTAAAAATCACAGAATTCTAGACTAACACCTTCCCTAAGCTAGAAGAGTAGTAAAACTCTCAGTTTACAAATTTAATAGCATAACTAAACCTCCCTTGCAATGTTTATTATCTTACAATGTTCATAACTTTCCACATGGTAACAATTAGATTATTTCTCCTCTTTCACTAGAACTTCCTTTAAAACAGAAATCCTCTTTAATACTTGGCTCAATAGTTTATATTAGGAGTCAACAAAGGATTATATAGAATAAATAAACTTTCTGGATATTCATTTAGTTTGAATAGCTATGCTGAAACTAATTTATTCCAAATACAATTCAAAATAAGAAAACACTAGGCCTAAAACAAAGCTTTGAGAGAATACTATCATGAATTTAGGTTTGCATAAAACATTTGATGAGGGGCTGGAGTTGTGGCTCAGTGGTAAAGTACTCATCTTGCACGTATGAGGCACTGGGTTCAATCCTCAGCACCACATAAAAAATAAATAAATAAAATAAAGGTACTGTGTCCATCTACAACTAAAATATATATTTTTTAAAAACTGATGAGTTTATACTAAGCAAAGTAGTATGAAAACTTGTCTCCAGTCTAATGATTTTATGGGTTTTTTAAAAAGGAGTTTTCATGAATTTATTTAACTGATATGAAAATTAGAATTCTGAAATTTTGGTGCCTTTTACCATGGCGTGAAAAGATTTACATTTCTAGGTAATAATGGCTACCAAAGTACATGAATAGTATACGGTAAAGGAATTTTCTGATACTCAACCACATTGTTTCACTATAAATACTTACACTATATACTATAAATACAAGAAGTTCATCTATGATGATTTCCCTTGAGAAAGAGCAAAGCTGATTTAAAAATAAGTTTAAAACAGGAAAAGGCCTCATAAAACATTAACTACTGCTAATAAAAAAAAGTTGTGAACACAAATCTCTATGACCATCAAGAAAGAAGTCTTTTCATTTCTTATTCATGCATTTTACCAATGGTATAAGCAATTAAAGGCCATTAGATTGGACTTGAAGGAATCAGGGTTTTTCCCCTCATTTTTTTAATGAGTACATCACAGTTGTACATAATAATGGAATCTGTTGTTACATATTCACAGATGCATACAATAACACAATATAATTTGGGGCTAGAGTTGTAGCTTAGTGGTAGAATGCTTGCCTGGCATGTGTGAGGCCCTGGGTTCATTTTAAAAAAATAAATAAATAATATAATTTGGCCAATACTATTCCCCAGTATTTCCCCTTTCCATTTTTTCCTCCTTCCCTCTGATCCCTTTCCTCTATTTTACTGATCTCCTTTTTATTTCATGAGATCCTCCCCACCTTTTTTTTTCCTTTTTTAAAAAAAAAAATAGCTTCCACATGAGAGAAAACATATGAACTACTGAGTTTGACTTATTTCATTAACATGATGTTCTCAAATTCCAAACATTTTCCTGTGAATGACATAATCTCATTTTTCTTTATGGATGAATTGTGTGTATATATACACCACATTTTCTTTATACATCCATCTGCTGACAAATACCTAAGCCAGTTCTAGTTTGGCTATTGTGAATTGTGCTGCTATAAGTATGGATATGCACCTATCACAGTTATGCATGTATGCTGAGTTTAATGCCTTAGGATAAATATTGAGGGGTGGTATAGTTGGGTCCATTCCTAATCTCTTGAGGAAACTCCATACTGATTTCCATAGTGGTTGTACTAATTTATAATCCCACCAACAGTGTACAAGTTTTCCTTAAGGAGTCATTTTAAGAATTCAAACAAATTCTGTTTAAAACTAAACTCATATCAAAAACTCCCTATTATTGTCTACTCAAAGATAAGTCTGGTGGCCTCAACTTTATTTTCTTGACAGTATGTAAAATTATCTCCTTCACTACCTAAAACTAATGTATTCCTTTTCTTTCTTTCTTTTTTTTTTTTGGTACCAGTGATAGAACCCAGGGGTACTTAACCACTGAACCACATCCCCAGCCCTTTTCATTTTTTATTTTGAGACAGGGTCACACTAAGTTGCTTAGGATTTACTAAGTTGCTGAGACTGATATTGAATTTTCGATCCTACTGCTCCAGACTCCCAAGTCACTGGGATTACAGGCATATGCCACCATGCCCCACTATTATTCCTTTTCTTTACAGGTGCCTAAATAATGTTCTATTATTGTATCTTTCAGAGCACTGAATGTCAATTTACTCCTTAATATCTTCTTCAATCTTACCCTATAAAGATTCAATAAAATTGTTTTTCTTTAGAAATAACTTCATAGTACATTTCAATATTGGTAAGCAGGGCTGAGGATATAGCTCAGTGGTAGAGCTCTTATCTACCATGTGCAAGGGCCTGAGTTCAGTCCCCAGTGCCAGGAAAAAAAAATGTAAACACACACACACACACACACACACATATATACATACATACATATGTGTGGGTGTGTGTGTATATATTCTTTATATAAGAATAACCACTGCATATTTCATGGGTCACATGAAATGATTACTAAAAAATTACTGATATCAATATTGTTATGCTTCATTACTACTGCTTAGACAATCTTTTTCTCATGTATACTGTATTAAATACAGCAATGATTTATTACACACTTTCAAAAAAATTTTGTACCATTTCCAAATATAAATGCAGTACTTTGACAATGTCAAAGTTGTCAGAATCACAATGGAGTCCCTTGTGTCAATTCTAACCAAAGGAAACTAAATAAATCCAGGAAGTTATGAAGGAAGGGTCCTTAGATATAATTGCATGATAGTAAAAACACAAAAGACTTCCGAAAACAAAAATTTCCAAGAAGTCACCACAATCTTATACAAAAAGTACTTTCACAAAGGACATCTGACCAGCAATTGTTTGTTCAACCTTGAACTGACATTACTCTCATTAACCATCAGGAACAAGCATTATTATTTCAAAATATTGCATGTAATCCTTTACATTTTTGTCTTTAAAAACTTTCCCTTGCTTCAACCTCTCTGAATACTATGACCTGCATATTCCCAACAAAATGCTGTTATTCCCAAATAAATATCATTATTCTTTGGAGAATCTCTCTTGGTTGCTTTAGTTGACAACCCAAATCTACATAGTTCTGAATCAAACATTGTCCTAAGACCACCAACTAAGACTCGGGGTCTTTCTCTCCTTAAAGTGATTACTAAAAATGGTGCTATTTCTGGATGAGTAATGCCATTCCCTAATAGCAGTTTTCATCACACATTTTCATTTTTAATATCTGTGTTCAAATTATATGCATACATACTTTTTATAAGAAACAATATTTTTAACAAAAACAAAACACAAAAATATCCAAATAAGAACATAGTTTTCTAGATTATGTATTAGGAACACTGGCAATCATTTTAAAACCAAACCCATACTTACTTGAATAATTGTTGCCAAAATATTTACATAATTACTTTCAGTCTGATAGAGCTCTTTCGCAACTTGCCACCTGGCTGACTGCTTTGAAGGAATGGGAGTGGAATTTTTAGAAGATGTATTACAAGACTTCGGTGTTTCTGAAAGGTACGAAAGAAAGATTTAATGGAAGCCAACTCTAAGTACCAAACATTTTACAGATTTAACAAAATGGGGGGGGGGGGGGGCTGCTTAATATACCACCACCATATATATTTTCATTAAAGTAAAATTTCATTATAAGGCCAGAAAAATATAATGGTCAAAAATATAACTCATTCCAATTTGACATACATTCTACTAATAAATGGTACATATGCCCCCAAAAATGTAAAGGTCATTAAATACAAAGAACAACAAGAACCTGTTCTAGAGGAGGATAAAGACAACCAACTATAATACTGCATTAGACCTTAGACCAACAAAATGAACTTTTAGGTTTTGCTTTGCTTAAAAGGACAGTTATTAGTGGGTCAGGATGTGGGGGCTATCTAGATGTGAAATCTGTCACTCCAGTGATTACAAGTGTTGATTTGGCTGATCTGGCTGGCTACCGGGTGTTCCTTTCCTCCCTCACTGCTCCACAGGCATCTTTCAGGAAGCTGCATACTCAATCAAAGAGGACAACCTTCCCCACTAGAGGAGGAGTGATCTTCAGTCAAAGGTATACAATTATCTGTGCTCTCCTGCTAGAACCTCCAAACAAAGCTCTAAAGATATTAGTGGGAAAACTAGAGAAATTTGAGTCTATAGTTCATGGCATCAATGCCAATTTCCTCATTATATAAGTATAATGTGGTTATTTAAGAAATAACCTCAATTTTGGGAAACAAACATATAGAGTTAAAAGCACATCATATCTAAAACTTACTCTCAAACAGTGCAGATATTAAAAAAGTGTGTGTGTGCAGGCACGTGTGCACACGTGTATGTATGTAGAAACATTTTTACTAAATTAAGGTTAAAGCAACATGGCAAAAAGAAATCCATTTGAAAATTCTATTTAGAAGGAATAGGAATCTTTGTAAAGCTAAAATAATAAAATAAAATGGGGGCTGGAGTGGTGGCTTAGTGGTGGAGCACTTGCCTAGCATGTGTGAGACACAGGAATCGATCCTCAGCACCACACAAAAATAAGCAAATAAAATAAAGGCATTCTGTCCACCTACAACTACAAAAAAAAATTTTAATAAATAAATAAATAAAAATAAAATATAAAGTAACATATAAAAATGCTATGGTTAAAAAAGGAGGCATGCCAGGCACAGTAGCATAGGCCTGTAATTCCTGCTACTAGGGAAACTGAAGGTAGGAGGATCACAAGTTTGATGTCAGTCCCAGTGACTTAGTAAAAATCTGTCTCAAAATAAAAAACAAAAAGGACTAGGGATATATCTCAGTGGTAGAGCTCCCCTGGGTTCAATCTCTAGTGAAAATATAAAATTAAATTAAAATAAAAATAAAATTGGCTAGGGAATGTACCTTAGTGGTAGAAGGTTTTCCTAGGATGCATGAGTCCCTAGGTTTAATTCCCAGTATGAGAAAAAAAAATAAAAAAAAAAAAAAAAAAATATATATATATATATATATATATATATATATATATATATATTTATAATCATACAAAATTAATTGTGTAAAACTTCTTACATACATATAAAGGAAACACCCAACAAAAATAGAAAAAAAATTAATTAAAAATTCTTTGTGACGGCCAGATGTTGTGGCACATGCCTGTAATCCCTGTGATGTGACTCAGGAGGCTAAAAGCTGGGGATCACAGGTTCAAAGCCAGCCTAAACAACTTGGCAAGGCTATAAGCAACTTTGCCAGACCCTATCTCAAAATTTAAAAAACTAAATAAAACAGGCTGGGTATGTGGCTCAGTGGTTAAGAGTGCTCCTAGGATTCAATTCCCAATTTAAGAAAAAAAAAAAAAAGTTTTTTGTTAGATCAAAGTATCATAATATAAAACATCCAGTCCAATTCAGAGTAGAATAAAGATATAATTTGGATACTTTATAGGTATTTCATGAAAGGAAAAAAAAATCATGGAAGGTTAAAACACATTTTCTCAATCAAAACGTTTCAAATACTTCACCGGGCATGGTAGCATATGCCTATAATCCCAGCAGCTCGGGAGGCTGAGGCAGGAGGATCAAGAGTTCAAAGTCGGCCTTAGCAACAGCAAGGTGCTAAGCAACTCAGTGAAACCTTGTCTCTAAATAAAATACAAATCAGGGCTGGGGACGTGGCCCAGTGCCAAGTGCCCCTGAATTCAATCCCTGGTACCCACCACCCCAATAAAAGAAAAGAAATGTTTAGAATATTTCAATATCATATAGAATATCTCCTAATGGCAAGTTTTTCAATTGGAAGAGGAATATATAACATAAAAGGAATATGTGACATGAAGTAAACAAGGTAATATATGCCCAGCATATCAATTTTATTCAATACCAAATATTTTTAAACATTTTTATATGAAAACAAATCATGTGTGCAATAGAGCTCTGAAAGCTTTTCAAAGATAATAGACCTCAAAGAAATTTTCCACTTTCCTTACATTACTTCAGGCTACACTGACCAAACCCATAAACGTCTGCCATTACAGGGGAGGGGAATGGAGACACACTGATCTAATTTAATTATATGGTGTATAGGCAGTGATCTACAAACTGAATAGAGGACCTAATAGATTAGTGTAGATGTCATGCTTGTTTTCTTTCCTTTTTTAAAAAAAAATGGTTCTTTTTAGTTATACATGACAGTAGAATCCATTTTGACATAATTACAAAAGCATGGAATACATTTTTTTCTAATTCAGTCCTTCCCACCCCACCCCTACTTCCCACTGGCCCCTGTTCCCTTCCCACTACTGAACTTTCTGCCAATTACCCATAGTTATTTCTTTTTAAATTAATTTATTTAATGGTTCATTTTCTTTTCTTGTCTCCCAAACTATATATTTCAGTATTGCCTGTTATGATCAGCACCTACCACCTCATTCCCTGTCCATTATGGTCAGAGTTACATATCTAATCATGATCCTCCTTCCAAGCACCAGGTATAACTTTTCCAAATACCTATCAGACATTTCTACTTTGATATAACATGAATTTCGTTAAAATTGTACTATAGTCCTGAAAAATATAAACATCCTATTTGTGCCAAGCCAATGTTTCTTTCATTTAAATCAATATTTCACCTTCATCTTCCCTGTTCCCTTCTTATTACTCCTTTCTATCAGTATTTTCCCAGGGCTTCATACTTTTCAATCACCAACTACCCTGATTTAGTGTCCTATCTCATGACCCAATCCATCACAGTAGATTACTTCATGGTCTAGATATTTCCCAACTACCTTTCAACTTTCTTAGAATAATCTACTACAAATTGTCCAACTATTCTGCTCAAAAGACTTTTAAAATTTCAGTGATCCTGGGTTCAATATCTAATACCAAAAACAAAAACAAAAAAATCTATAATAACATAAAGCCACTGAATGACTTTTAAAGCATGGGAGTGGCTTTTAGAGTGTTGCTTATGGAAAGACAACATAAATGAAGCAATCATTTAGGAGACCAACACAAACATTTAGAAGACCTTTTTACAGAAAGACTATGAAAGATGGTAGAAAAATCGAGGAATTCAAAGTAGTAAAGAGAATCAAATGTTCTAACTTGGCTATGTTAAGTTTATAATGCCTATCAAACTTGGACAAGAAGGTATCCAGTAGGGAACTAAATAGGGAAAAAGATATAGTTAGTAATTATCAACATATAAATATTATTTAAAATCATGGAATTAAATGAGATCATTTAGAAAGAATATAATAGAAAAACGATGACTCAGTAAGAACATAAAACATTTAGATTTAGAGTTGGAGAGAAATGTTAGGCAAAAGAGAATAAGAAATGAGTTGGGGCTGGGGATGTGGCTCAAGCGGTAGCGTGCTCCCCTGGTATGCGCGGGGCACTGGGTTCGATCCTCAGCACCATATAAAATAAAATAAAGATGTTGTGTCCACCAAAAACTGAAAAATAAATATTAAAAAAATTCTCTCTCTCTCTTTAAAAAAAAAAAAAAAGAAATGAGTGATATCACCAAAGCCAAGAAGAAAAAATATGTTCATAAAGGAATAGCCCATTCAATGATTGCTAAATGCTGTGAGTTACATAAAAACTATCTCCCCAAAAAAGAACAATTTGATATAGTATGGACTGCAGCTCATCTAGAATGAGCTGAAAGAACAATGAGAAACAGAGAAGCAGCTGCAGCGCCAAGAGGAGGCAGAAGGCAGATATCGAGAAGCCGCTGGGTGGGCACCACGGTCAGGATCACCACCATCGAGGCGGTGAAGCACAAGATCCAGGTTCTGCAGCAGCAAGCAGATGATGCTGAGGAGAGGGCTGAGCGCCTCCAGCAGGAAGTTGAGGGAGAAACGCAGGCCGGGGAACAGGCTGAGGCTGAGGTAGCCTCCTTGAACCGTAGGAAGAAGAGCTGGACCCTGTTCAGGTGAAGTGGGCACCCCCTTTCTCCACAGAAAAGCCCTCTTCACCATGGCTGATTTTGGGACTGTCAGCAAAAGAGTCTCTGCAAAAGAGTCCAATGTAGATAAACTTCCTATTTTCGTGTCACCCTGTTTACTTGGCCACTGGCCGAGAAGATACCAGCACTCCAGGTGCTGGACACCCCCTTACAAGTTTTCACAAACATATCAAGTATAGTACTTCGAAGAAATGTACAAACAAGGCCTCTGGCCTTGAGCTGGGCTTCACAGAGATGTCTATATTTTTTTAAGATAAGTTACAAATGGGCCCATGGTAACAGCTGGCAGGGGGAGGAAAGAAAGGGAAGATGAAGCTCTCCCCTTCTCAGGTGTTGTCCTTGAAGAGTTAACTTGCCCAGAACAGTGAAAAGAAAAAGCTGCTTTTATGTGAACTTCTGCAGACTGTGAACTTCTGAGACCCGCCCCTTACACACTGGGTATAAAACTCTGAAACTCCCTGAACTCAGGGTTCAGGGGATTAATTGATTACAGCAAAAGTTGTACCCTCTGAACTTGGCTGCAGCCAAATAAAATTCTTTCCTGCTATCT